AAAACGGGATGGGAAAGTCCTTGCAATTGTGACTATTGGAGAATAGTCCCAGTTACCCCGACTCAAAACCCTAAAACAGTCCTAAATGTACACCTCTAACCAGTTTGAAGGTCCAGGAGGAGGGGCCTCTACATACTGGTCCACATTGTTCCTTTATATAGGGTAAGAAGACAGGTAGACGCTAACAAAAATGGTGTTACAAAATCACAGAGGCTTAGAGCTCGTCTTTGTAAAACAAGGAGGCCTTTGTATGGCTTTAGGAAAGACCTGCTGCTTCTATGCACATCAGTTGAAATTATCAGAGAAAACAACACTAGGCTGACAATTGTTATCAGTCTTTATTTTCCTGGTCTCCATGGCTTACTACCCTGCTCTCAGCCTTAGCTAGGCCTCTAGTCCTCCTACTCATGGCCCTGACAGTCGGACCTTGTCCAATCAACTACCTGACTAGCTATATTAGACGAGTAAATACAGTAAAAATCATGGTTCTAAGAGAACAATATATTCCCCTAGATGATCCCCAGGATTTGACTCATGCCCATAGAACCAGTGGAGAATGTGATATGACACATTCTTGACCATAGCTACACCATGTTAAAGTTTAGGCTGACTCTAGCTCTGAAATTATCAGGCAGTTGGTCTAGTGTATGGGAGCACACGTCAGCAGGATCCAGATGTCTTGGGAACAGGTCAGCGTGTTCCGGAGTACACCTGCTAATTGTAGATTTATGGCTTCTGTCGGCTATGCTTAGCTTAGTTCTACAAAATAGTAATTGTTGCCTAATAGAATAAAAATTGTTAAGGGGGTTTTGCACCTGTAAGCTTGGGAACTTAAAATTTTCACCCCTGGTTATGGTTTCTCTGTTTAAAAGTTTACCCTAAAGTCCCGGGGCTGCTGGGTATGGTGATGCATGCTTTTAATCCCAGCACTTGGGAGGCAGAGGCAGGTGGATCTTAGTGAGTTCGAGGCCAGCCTGCTCTACATAGTAAGTTTCAGGCTACCCAGATAGTGAGACCCTGCTTCAAACAAAACAAAACACTCGCCAAAAAGGAAGGCTCGGGCACACACTTGGGTTCTGACTCCCTTGTGTGGTAGCCCTGGCCAGCAACGACTTTCATTCAGCAAAACTTTGTCTGAGTGGTCTTCTCTGGTGAAGCACCACACTACTATTGTTTTGGGTTTTGGGTTATTTATTTATTTATTTTTTGAGACATGTTCCTGCTCTGTGGCTTGAATTGGCCTTCAGGTCAATGCAATCCTCCCAAGTACTGCAATTACAGGAGTGTACCACCATGCCCAGCTGCCCTACCACTTTTGATTCTGGGATGTCCAATATCTTGAAGAATGTAAAGGATTTCCACAATGGTTGAGGGAGGATGTACCACTGCTCAGGAGAGGGCTTGTGTTTGATTTTATCAATCCCTACATTCTTTATTTGCTAAAATTAAAACTTGAGTTTAAAAGAATCTGCCAGGTGTGGTGACTCACAAAGGCAGATCTCTCTGTGTTCAAGGCCAAGCTGATCTATATAGTGAGTTTGAGGCCAGCCAGGGCTACATGGTGAGACCCTGTCTCAAAACAACAAACCCCAAGTAATACGAATTTGGGTTGAAAAATCTACCTCAGAGCAGACTACGAGAAAAGGGCCTCCAATACCACCATCACTTTGCTCAGGGTCAAGGTGGTTCATATTCAGACTGACCTGCACTTTACCTTCTTGCTGAGCACGTAGCCCTTTGGGGGCCCAGACGTACGGAATGTTGCTTGTCTATTCCAGTCCAGTCCTGTACTGTTACTTAAGCCCTACCCCTTTGATTAAACAACAAAATGGCTCTTCTCAAGGCAAAAGGCAGTTACTTTTTATTTTGTTTTTATGTATTGAGTATATTGTCTGCATGTATGTAAGTGCACCTGTGTTGTGCAGTGCCCACAGAGGCCAGAAGAGTGCATTGGATCCCCTGGCACTGCAGTTACAGATGACTGTTAGCTGCCAGGTAGGTGCTGGTTACAGAACCTTTGTCCTCTACAAAAACAGCCAGAGCTCTTGACTGCTGAGCCATCTCTCTAGCCTCTACTTTAGCACATTCTTATTCAAACCCCACAACATAGCTGGCATGGCCTATCATTCTAAGACTGGGAAGCAATGCGGAATACAGTGGTTAATTGCGTCAACTTGACTGGGTCATGATGCTCAGATATTTGGTCAAACATGGGATGGTAGCTGACACCTATAATTCCAGTACTCTGGGAGGTTGAGGCAGGAAGATTATCTTCAGTCTGATGACAACATGTACTGGAACTCACAGTGAGTTCCAGGCCAGTCTGGGTCACAGTGAGGCCCTCTGGGACACATCCTGTATCTCATAAAACCAATGCTCCCACCCACTCCACCACTCAAACAACAAAAACATATTCTGGATAGTTCTGCATATGTATTTTTTGCATGCAATTAACATTTAAGCTGGTTACGCTGGGCATGGTGGTGCACACCCTTAAGCCCAGCACTTGGGAGGTGGAGGTGGACAGCAGATCTCTGTGAGCTCAAGGCCAACCTGATCTACACTGTGAGTTCCTGGCTAGCTGGGGCTACAGGGAAACCCTGTCTCAAAAACAAACAGGGGCTGGAGAGATGGCCTAGCAGTTAAGAGCATTGACTGCTCTTGCAGAAGACCCAGGTTCAATTCCCAGCACCTACATGATGGTTAACAGCCATCCTTAACTCCAGTTCCAGGGGATCCAATGCCTTCTTCTAATCTCTGGGGACATGGGTGCATGACACAGGTGCACATACATGCAATACACTCATACACATAAAATAAAAATAATAAAATATTGAAAACAAACCCTGAACATTGAGCTGGTGGACAGGGAGCATTCACATTTCCCTATACAATGTAGCAGTCTTCATAAAGTATCTGAACAAACTGACCACTAAGAATAAGGAACTTTGCAGGGAGAGAGCGCCTTGGTTAGGACCGCGACTCTTTTCCTCTCCAGCCTGTCACCCATCCTTCTGATTTCAGGTTTGCACAGTTTCTTAAAATAAGTCTCTTTCTTTAAAATTTTTATGACATTTGTGTATGTCACCACAGGGTTATGGAAAAATTCTTCAAATAGCAGAGGCCAAGCACACACTCAGGAGAGAGTTGGAAAGCTCTTTATTCCTTATGCATACATGAGGACCCCAGTAAGTAACAGGTGGCTATTAGATTCTGAGCCCTGATCTGTAGTACAGATGAGGTGCTAATCATTTTATGATTATGATTAGCACCTAGACTATGTTTCTTTTCATGATGAGTCATGTTATCTCAGGAAAGTTCCTTCCTGAGTTCACTCACCAAAGTGGTTTTTAAAGTAGATAATCCAAGTGTGGGTCAGGACATCTGCCATCTTTTGTTGTACTGGGTTAGGCTAACTGGGCTGGAACCTGGTTAATGGTCATTTCAGTTTACAAAATCAGATATCATCAGCAGAAGTTTAGATTTCTTTTAAAAAATATTTTATTATTTTAATTTTATGTGTATGAATGTATTGTCTGCATGTAGGTGCACCCCTGTCATTCAGAACATATGGAGGTCAGAAGAGGGTGTTGGATCCCCCTGGAACTGGAGTTACATATGGTTGTTAGCTATCATATGAATGCTGGGAATTGAACCCAGGTCCTCTGCAAGAGCAGACAGTACTCTTAACTGCTGAGTCATCTCTCCAGCCCCGAAGTTTAGATTCTGACTGATTTGATCTACACTTTTCTTAGAGTAATTGGACCAGGTGCCTTATTAAACCATTTGGTGAACTTTCCATTCCCTTAGCTTACATCCTTGTCAACAGTCAGACATGGTGAGGGCTAAACATCATAAAGCTTCAAGACATTAGTGCACAGTATTAGGGAAATGCGAAACATCACAGGGCAATAAAACATCTCTCGACTACATTTTAAGGTATCTACTCCGTAAGTAAAACAAAGAAAACTGCAAAATAATCGAAACTTAAAAGATTATATAGAAAGTGATAGACTGTAACCTTTCCTCGGCAAGAGGGCAACTTGGAGCGGGTTCTGTCCTTCACCCATGTGGGTCCCAGGGATAGAACTCAGGTCCTGTGACTTGGCAGCAAGCACCTTTACCTGCTGAGCCATCTCACCGAGTGTGTCTATACACACATCCTATTGGTCTGGTTTAGACGAACGAAACAGAGAACAGGACAGACTGCCCTCAAGATGGCCAGGACGCACCCTAATCTCTTAACCACCAGCCAAACCAGACCCAAGGACAGCCGCACGCGCGCACAGCCGGAGAAGGGATCTCTCAGCTGTCACCCGCCCACCGCCGTCCACAACCGAGCCCTGCCGCGCCCTCCGCGGAGCCCGAGCCGCCCTACTGCGTCTCCCGGACGGTTCTCCTCCAGGTCCCGATGGGACAGCCCCGAACCTCCAGAGGACTGCCACCTTCCCCCGCCGCGGGTTACAACTCGGAGGGCGGAGACGCCTAGGCCTCCAGGCCCCTCCCCTTCACGCGAGGCCACGCCCCCACCCAATCCCCGTGAGTCTGTCAGCGTCCTATCCGATAGGCCACGCCCCTCAGAGCGTCATCCTTCCCCTCACCCAATCTCCGCCTGCTTGTCAGCTTCCAATCGGCTAGGCCCAGCCCAGCCATTCCCAATCCCCGCCTGCTTGTCAGCTTCCAATCGGCTAGGCCCAGCCCAGCCAGTGTCGCCCGCCCCACCCCACCAGGTGACTCGCCGATCGCCCTGCCTCTCACTCAATCCACGCGCCCAATTGGACAGGCCCCGCCCCTTAGGGTGTCGCTCCACCCCCTCACCCAATCCCGGAGCGGTCGAAAGCTCCGGGCCGTCTAGGTCCCGCCCCTCCAGCGGACTGGGCTGTCAATCCCCGTGCAGATCCGCCTCTTCCACCTCTGGAGTTAGTCAAGCAATCCTCGAGCTGGGGTTCCCGAGGTCCCGCCCCTTCCTTCCTGCCACCCAATCGCCCCACGGGCCTCCGTCTGCCCCGCCCCTCCGGCGTCGCCCGCAGAGGCTTCAGGCCTGAGGCGGGTTTTCAGTCCCACCGGGAAGATGGAATCACTGCTGAGGCGGGAGCTGGGCTGTCGCTCTGTCCGGGCCACGGGTCACTCCGGAGGCGGATGCATTAGCCAGGGCCAGAGCTACGACACGGACGCGGGGCGCGTGTTCGTGAAGGTGAACCCCAAGGCCGAGGTAGGGCCGCCGGCGCGGCGGGACACACTGGGGTCAGGCTCCATCCTCCTCCCGCCTCCCGGGCTCCGGAGCTTCATCTGCGATCCTGGGCGGGTCGGTGCCCTGGCCCCGGGTACGGGTGGGCAGTCCTGGGGGCCGGGTCTTCAGGATCCGGGTGGGCAATCCTGGGGGCCGGGTCTTCAGGATCCGGGTGGGCAGTCCTGGGGGCCAGGTCTTCAGGATCCGGGTGGGCAGCTCCGGGGACGAGGTCTTCAGGATCCGGGTGGGCAGTCCTGGGGGCCGGGTCTTCAGGATCCGGGTGGGCAGCTCTGGGGGCCGGGCCTTTAGGATCCGGGTGGGCAGTCCTGGGGGCCGGGTCTTCAGGATCCGGGTGGGCAGCTCTGGGGGCCGGATTTCTGTTGCTTTCTTCTCATAGTCCATCTTTTCTTTAAAAGTGTCTATTTTTATTTTATGTGTATGAGTGTATTGCCTACATGTATGTCAGTGAACCGATGTTGTGCGAGGTCAGTTGTTAACCGCCATGTGGGTGCTGGGAATAGATCCCGAGTCCTCTGTGGGAGCAGCCAGTGCCCTTAACTGCTGAGCCACTTCTCCAGCCCCTCACAGTCCATCTTTTGGATCTTTTCCGAGATCTTTTGTTGCACATTCCAACTGATGCTTAGCCTATTCATGAGTAGCCACTTGTTTAACTTAAAAATTTGAGGCCACACAGCAGTAAATTGTTTCTGTGAAGATGTTATGGGAGTATTCTTGGAACAGCTAAGAGATCAATATCCAGGAAAGAGTTGGAAAGCTTGATTACTCTCTTCTGATACATGAGGTCCCAGAATCAGCAACTAAGGCTTTTAGACTTTCTGGGCCTGGAACAGAAGTATAGATGGGGATTGCGTGGACATTTTTACATCATCATCTTATGGCTGGCCCCTGGGCTATGTTATCTCAGGAGAGTTCCTTCCTGAGTTCATGCTGTCATCATAGCTTACAAAGTAGATCTCCCAGGCATGGGCTCTGCTGTCTTTTGGTCCATAGCTGGGCCAGGATACCTTGGCTAGGAATTGGTCAAACAGTCAATATAGTTTACAAAAATAGATATCACCAGCAGAAGTTTAGATAGTTTAGATAACTTTTCTTGGACTAATTGGACAGGTCCCTCATTAAACCATTTGGTGAACTTTCCATTCTCTTAGTTTTACATCTTTATCAACAGCCAGACATAGTGAGTGGAAAACACCCCAAAGCTTCAAGTTACTAGAGTAACAAAACATCTCAGAGTAGTGAAAACATCGCAGAGATTAAAACAGTAAAATATCCCAGGGTTACATTTCAAGGTATCTACCTAGTAAGTAAATCAAAGGAAGCGTCAAAATAGTCTAAGCCTAGAAGAAGATTATACATGAATACAGAAAGTTATAAGAATATAGCTTTGGTGTGGTGTCGCACACCTTTAATCCTAGCATGCAGAGGCAGGTGGATCTCTGTGAGTTCAAGGCCAGCCTGGTCTGCATAGTGAGTTCCAGGACAGCTGGGGCTACAGGGAGATCCTGTCTCAGAAAGACAAAAAAAAAAGAATATGATGTCTCCTTATCGAAGGTGACTTCACCAACCCTCTTTATGCCTCTCCTGCATTTCCCACAATTCTTAATGTAGTATCTGTTCCCAGTACCTTTTGCAGAAGTTTAGCCAGGGTTCTGCTGCTTCTGCACATTCTAAAGAGAGCGCTATGAGGTTCTGTCTTATCTCCCCTCTCAGCAACCATGGCCCTCTCTGGGAGTAAGGATAATGTTTATAAAGTATTTAGAACGGACTTTGTGCTGATATCTTGACTGTTGATCTGGGTGGTTGTTATGCTGCAAGAATTCACTGAGTTGGAAGCTGATAAGTTGTGCACTTTTCTGCATGTACTTTAGTGAGAGTTTCCCTGTAAAGGGGAGTATTTTAAGGGGTAGGAATTACCTACTATAGAAAGTTAGAGAAGATTTCTTTGCTGTTATGTTGAAATCTGAAGGATGACTGAGTTGTTTGTTGAAACATGGGGAGTAGATGGTACTAGATGTGTAATGTGTGACTTTGAGGCTGCAGGGACAGGAGATCTTTGAGGAATTAAAGGATGGAAGGAATACAGGACAGTGTGTGTGTGTGTGTGTGTGTGTGTGTGTACGCTCATGTGTGTAGGGTGGAGCCAGGACAGTAGCCCTAGATGAGCAGGACAGGAGCAAGGCCATCATTGTACAGGAAACAGGAAGGGTTGCAGGTTCAGGTATATGCAGGGTCAGATCCCATTCCAGAGGGAACACTGCATGCAGTATGTGGGCAGGAGAGTCTTGATGGAGGATAGTCACTGTAGCCAGGGAACTGGGATGGAAGTGGTGGTTGAGATGAAGTGGTTTCTAGTACCAGGCAGGAGGTGGAGGAAGCATAGAACTAGTTTCATGGCAGATGCAGATAGATGGCTCCCTGCTTCTGAGGTACAGCAGCCTTCATTCGAGGTCTCTGAGAGCATGGAGGGAGAACCTGTATCACAGCCCAGCTCTGTGGGGGAACCTGTATCATGGTCCAGCTCTGTGGGAAAACCTGTACCACAGTTCAGCTCTGTGGGGGAACCTGTACCACAGTATAGCTCTGTGGGAGAACCTGTACCAGGGTTCAGCTCTGTGGGAGAACCTGTATCACAGCCCAGTTCTGTGGGAGAACCTGTATCACACAGTGCAGCTCTGTGGGAGAACCTGTATCACAGTCAAATTCTGTGGGAGAACCTGTATCACAGTCCAGCTCTGTGGGAGAACCTGTACCACAGTCCAGCTCTGTGGGAGAACCTGTACCACAGTCCAGCTCTGTGGGGGAACCTGTACCACAGTCCAGCTCTGTGGGGGAACCTGTATCACAGTCCAGCTCTGTGGGAGAACCTGTACCACAGTCCAGCTCTGTGGGAGAACCTGTACCACAGTCTAGCTCTGTGGGGGAACCTGTCCCAGGGTCCAGCTCTGTGGGAGAACCTGTATCACAGTCCAGCTCTGTGGGGGAACCTGTATCACAGTCCAGTTCTGTGGGAGAACCTGTATCACAGCCCAGCTCTGTGGGCAACACTTAGGGAAATATGGGGAGCCTTTGAATTCAGCCACAGCATGGAAATGTGGTCCAACACAGGACCATAGCTTTTGTATGCCTGTGTGACTTCCGTACTCATAGCCTGCTCTTCTGACAAGTAGCCTGGGGGTGTGTGTGTGAAAAACTGTCCATGTTTGTTGAGTCCCCAGTGTAGCATAACTGTGGTTTGAAATTGTATTGCCAGAAGAAAACATGTCTAAGTAGTCTTTTTCCCCAGTGACCTTGGTGTCCTCTTCCTCTCCCTCCTCTTCCTCCATCATTTCACTGACAGGCCAGAAGAATGTTTGAAGGTGAGATGGCAAGTCTAGCTGCCATTCTGAAGACAGGCACAGTAAAAGTGCCCAAGCCCATCAAGGTTCTTGACGCCCCCGGAGGCGGGAGCATGCTAGTGATGGAGCATTTGGACATGCGGTATCTGAGCAGGTCTGTCTGCACACCCTCCCTTCTGCTTAAAAGCAAAGGCTTTAATTTTCCACTGTGCAGTTCTTTCATTCTGGAATCTTGTCCTTGGAGGCATGATTTTGAGCTGTGTATAAGGAGCCCGTGCCTGCATACAAGACGACTCTGCAAAATGAGTGGCATGTGCTTTCTGCCAGCTAATAGCCAGAGAGAGGACTTGCTCAAAGAGGTGATCACAAAGGACCCAATTACAAAGTCCAGTGAGGCCAAGAAAGGAGTCAAATAAAGGGGACCTCTTGTTTTGTTTCTTGAGATGGGGTTTCCCCATAATGCTGCCCCCATGGCTTGAAATTCACTGTGTAGACCAGGCTGGCCTCAATCTCTCAGAGATCTTCCTGCCACTACCTCCCAAGTGCTGGGATTAAAGACGTGTACCTCCATGCCCAGCTCTTTTTTTTTTTTTTTTTTCTTTTTGAGACAGGGGCTCCCTGTAGCCCCAGCTGTCCTGAACTCACTATGTAGACCAGGCTGGCCTTGAACTCACAGAGATCCGCCTGCCTCTGCCTCCCACGTGCTGGGATTATAGGTGTGTGCCACCATGCCCAGCTCATTTGTTTTTTTTTTTTTGAGACAGGGTCTCATATAGCTAAAACTAGCCTTGAACTCCTTGATCCTCCTGCCTCCACCTCCCAGGTGCTAGGGTTACTGTTGTGTGCCAACACACCTGGTTTTCCTTTTTGTTTCAATAGAATGGACTTTCTGTGGTCAGAATGTTTGGCTTGCTTTGTGTGCCTGGGGACCTTTCAGGTGGATTTGCCATTAGTGTGTCATCCAGTTAGTTGTCGCCTTTGGTTTCAGTCATGCTGCCAAGCTCGGAGCCCAGCTTGCAGATCTACACCTGGAGAACAAGAAGCTTGGGGAGATCCTCCTGAAGGAGGCTGGCACAGTGGGTAAGGGGCTGCTTAGAGGGAGGATGGGGTAATGCTGCAGCCTGTGTTGGTGCCAAAGCCAGCAAGGGTCACCCCAAGGCTACATGTTCACAGTGCAGTGAGCACTGTGTTGCTGCACAATGTCTCCTAGACCAACTGAAGAACAGAAAATGTCTCTGGACTTGAAAATCCTGCAGTGTTATGGTTGCTTTGCTTCTTCCTCTCCCGAAGAGAGATTTTTAGATTTCTATACAAAGTGAGCCCTTGGGACTAGAGAGGTGACTCAGTGGTTGAGAGCCCTTGCTGGTCTTCCAGAGGACTCAGGTTCAGTTCCCAACATCCAGGTCAAGCAGCTCACAACTGCCTGTAATTCCAGCTCCAAGGAAATCCTGTACCCTCCTTTGGCCTCCACAGGTGCTACACTCATGTTCACATCCCCCACCCCACAGATACACATAAATAAAAAATCTAAAACAAAACAAACAAGTGACCCTTTCAACACATTGTCTTGCCCCCAAGTACACATCATTCTTGAGGCTCAGAATGACAGCCCTCATGCCTGACCTATGTAGAACTTAGTGTGGTGTTAGCATTGAGGGAGTTTTCTGACATTTTCAGTCTCTGGCAGTTGATACTATGTACAGCCCACTGCTGACTCTGCTAGACAGATTGGCTGACAGTCAGGAAGCAGGTAATCCAGAATCTACTGTGTAAAGGGTCTGCTGATGGGTCCCAGCCTGCCCGCCGTCCTCCGAGGGTCTACTGGCGAGCCCTGTCAAGTTGGCTTTCCTATTGCTTCCAAGCTGCCTGGAGTTCAGTCAGTTGGGATTTTCTCGAGTTTGGGGAGACACATAGGGTTGAGACCATTTCAGAGTATAATAGTTCATCTGTCAAAAATGCTATTACATTGCCCACTGAGAAATACCCCTTCCTGATGGCCTATGGGGTAGGTGTTTTCCTCTGTAAAGAACTTCACATTTTATTTTTTGACAGTGTTCTCTGCCCTTCTGTGTCCGTGTATCCTCTGATACTGCTTCTTGGATAGCCAGTGTCCTTGGCTACTAAATCTGCTGAAATAGTCACTGTTCTGAGTGGCCTGAGGGTTAGAAAGGACTAGGGCCCTTGCTTGTGTCTGGGTGAGGACACGAGGTAGTGAGGATACGCTGACTGCAAGACAAAGGCTCTGAGCATCAACAGTGGGCCTCTTGGAACAAGGGGATGAGCTAGTTACTTTACTGTTTTTCCTTTTGTATGCAAGGGAGAGGAGGTGGGCAGGCAGAGCGGCATTTTGTGGACCAGTTTGGGTTTGATGTGGTGACATGCTGTGGATACCTCCCCCAGGTAAGTGGCTCCACACCTTCTTCCTTTTCTGTGAGAGTCTTTCAGTCTTATGACTCCTTTTTTTGTTTGTTTGTTTTTTTGAGACAGGATCTCCCTGTAGCCCTAGCTGTCCTGGAACTCACTATGTAGACCAGGCTGGCCTTGAACTCAGAGATCCGCCTGCCTCTGCCTCTGCCTCCCAAGTGCTGGGATCAAAGGTGTGGCCACCACGCCCGGCTTCAGTCTTAGTATTCTAGTTTCCCTGATAATTTTTAAGAAGTTGACACAGGGCTGGAGAGATGACTCAGCAGTTAAGAACACTGGTTGTTCTTGCAGAGGACCTGGGTTCGAATCCCAGCACCCACATGGCACCTAACAACTGTCCGTAACTCCAGTTTCAGGGGATCCGACAGCCTCTTCTGTCCTCCATAGGCTTTGTACAACACGGGTGCACTTACCTACACGCAGGCAATACACGCATACACATAAAATAAAAATAATAAAATAAAAATTAAAAACATATCTGATAAGTCAGATTCAAAGGTCATATCTAGTTCCTTAAAATATTTCAGTTGTCCAGAAAATGGATGGCTTGGTTTCTTGGCAAATTGGGTATGAACATAGTTCTGTTTAAAGGGGAGTTCTTCAAACATAATTTCTGTTAAATAAGTTTTCCTGGTATTGTGCAGTGTTTAGCTCATTAACTCTCAAGTTGAACCGCCTGGTTCATACACATAAAATAAAAATAATAAATATTTTTTAAAAAAAAGTTAACACAAGGTATACTAACCCTACATGTTAGATAAAGATAGAGAAATAGACCAAAGGAACAGCAGTTTAGAAAATTTATGTGTTTTTTTATTTATTTATTTTATTTTTATTTTTTGTCTTTTTGAGCAGTCTCCCTGCAACCCCAGCTGGCCTGGAACTCACTATGTAGACCAGGTTGGCCTTGAACTCAGAGATCCGCCTGCCTCTGCCTCCCGAGTGCTGGGATTAAAGGCGTGCACCACCATGCCCAGCTTATTATTTATTTTTAAAATATTTATTTTTATTTTAGATGTATGAGTGTTTTTTCTCACATGTATGTATGTGTATCATGTGCATGCCTAGTGCCCACAGAAAGTGTTGGATCCCTTGGAGCTGGAGTGGTTGTGGGTGTTGGGAACTGAACTCTGGTCCTCTACAAGAGCAGCAAGTGCTCTTAACCACTGAGCCATCTCTCCAGCTCCATATACATCATCAGCCTTCCACATACATTTGCATTTATGAATTTAACCAATGAATTGAAAATTTTCAGAACAAAATTGTGTCAACCCTGACCCCAGATAGACTTTTCCCCATCATTCCATCAACAGTACAGCATGACAACTATTTATATAGTATTTATATTGTATTCGATATTATGTAGAGCCTGGAGATGATTTAAGTGTGGCAGGAGGTGTGTGTGTAGGTTTCATGGAGAGTCTGCACTGCTTTATATAAGGACTTGACCATCTGAGGACTTTCCTGAGGGCAGAAGTCTTGGATCTCCTTCCATGTGGATACCAAGGAACTCTTGAAGACAGCACAATGACAGGGCATTGTCTCTGTCAGGTTTATGGTGTTAAAGTCTGTTCACCTGGAGTTTTTGCCTTGGGAGTTCTGCCTGGTGCCCAGCAAATAAGTAGACAGGACGACCATTGTAGTGATTAGCTGGAATTGTCGACCTGTCAGTTGACCTGGAAAGAGAGTGTCAATGAGGAATTACCTAGATTGGTTTGGCCTGTGGGCATGCCTAGACAGGATTTCTTAGTTGGGTTAATTGAAGTGGGAAGACCTGCCCTGACTGTAGGTGGCACCATTCCCTGGGTTTGGGTCCTGGCCTGTGTAAGAGTGGAGGTGGTGGGCTGAGTAGTGAGCCTGCATGCTTTCATCTCTGCTCTCAGTGGAGGGTGTGACTCGATGCTCCAACTCCTTGCCTTGACTTCCTAGAATGGTGGGCTGTCACCTGGAAATGTAAGCCAAAACCCAAAGCACCCTCTCCCCCAAGTTGCTATAATATGTGTCATAGTAACAGAGGGAAGCAGGCAGCAGCCTTAGCCAGGAGGGTTAGTGGGGAATGCAGAAACCTCCGGGGTTTCCTGGTGGGCACAGGGACCACAGATTTGGAAGTGTTGTATGAGGTTGTCTGAAAATCTCCCTTGAGGCCTTGAGTGGTGCTTTCCTTTTTAAATTTTTATTTTTATTTTATGTGTATGGCTATTTTGTCTGCATGTGTAAAGTGTATCACATGCATGCAGTGACTGTGAAGGCCAGAAGGGGGCGTCGGATCCCCTGGACCTGGAGTTACGGACAGTTGTCAGCTGCCACGTGGGTGCTGGGAGCTGAACCCAGGTCTTCTGCAAGAGCAATCAGTGCTCTTAACTGCTGAGCCATCTCTGCAGCCCCCTTGGGACTTTTTTTTGAATGAGATTTCACATGACTTTTCTTGTTAGGATTCTAGACAGGTTCAGTTGTGGCTGGGCAGGTGGTTAGAAATGAGCCAAGGGATCAGGAAGGACAGTGAGCTCTGCTGTGTTCCTGAGTTTTCTAATTAGAATGTCTGGTGTTATTCAGGAAGCTTGGCTTCCCACTAGGCAAGGTTTGTTCAATTCTCCATGCTGCCTGGTCATTCCTCATTCTCAGCCTCTGTGGCTACTACTGCCCTCCTCAGGCTTCCTACAGCCTTTCTACTTTGGGACTTCTGGGTATTGGAGCCTCCTTCAGTTCTGGCATTCTGATGAGCTCTGCTCTCTCCTGTGCTGTCACCTGTGCAGGTGAATGACTGGCAGAAGGACTGGGTCACGTTCTATGCCAGGCAGCGCATTCAGCCCCAGATGGACATGGTGGAGAAGGAGTCTGGGGACAGGGAAGCTCTTGAGCTGTGGTCTGCTCTACAGGTGAGCAGGGCCAACAACATGCCCCACTGAGTACTGATGAGGGGAGGCACCAAGGTGGGAGGGGTCATCTGAGTCTATTCTAGTCAGGAAGAGATACTTGCCCATGCTGCATCTGCCCCACCTGAGCCAAGCACAAATGAGTGCCTGTGCAGATATGCAGGGCAACTCAGGAAAACATCTATGTCCCCAAAAGCACTGACCACTTTCCTCAGGCTCCATTTCTTCTCTGCAGCTGAAGATTCCTGACCTGTTCCGTGATCTGGAAATTGTGCCTTCTCTCCTCCATGGAGACCTCTGGGGAGGGAATGTAGCGGAAGATTCCTCCGGGCCCATCATTTTCGACCCAGCTTCCTTCTATGGCCACTCAGAGTATGAGCTGGCTATAGCTGGCATGTTTGGGGGCTTCAGTGGCTCCTTTTACTCTGCCTACCACAGCAAAATTCCCAAAGCCCCTGGATTTGAGAAGCGCCTGCAGTTGTATCAGCTCTTTCACTACCTGAACCACTGGAATCATTTTGGATCAGGATACAGAGGATCCTCTCTAAACATCATGAGGAATCTCAGCAAATGAGCTGGCTTCACACCAGAGGGCTGAGTATCTGAAGATTGTGCTAGGCTTCAAGGTCAGGTGCCCAGATTCCAACCAGTCTGGCTAGGAACCTTACATCTTTCCACAGTCCCTTTCCTCATTAATTCTTCCCAGTTACTCCATGGATGAATTTGCCTAAGATCCCTGAGTGACTTATTTCCAAGCCTGATAAGAGTGTGGGTTAGCTCAGAGGAAAGGTCCTGTGGTCCCAAAGTTGTGTACGTTGTAAGACTTCCTGGCTGGATTAGGCCAGCCACACTGTAATACAAACAGATCTGTGAAGTATAGGGATAGTGAGCCATACGCCGCTCCAAAGGTAGAGATGTGAGCGACTGGGTGTGTGGAGGGCGTCCAGTGTGCAAGGAAGTGGCCAGTGCCACCATCTCCTCCTGATCTGCACCAGGAACATCTCTGAGCTGTTGACAGTGATACTTTATGATGGTACAACTTGATCTGGATATGGAGTCATCTTACTAGAAGCTTCGAGTAATGACCAGTTCTAAAGTCAACTACATTCCCTTTTTTTGTGCAACACCTCTGAACCCTGTTCCAAGCTGAGCTGGTCAGGAGATTGATTTGGGGACTGACCAAGCTACCAGACTTAGGGTAAATTGGCTCTTTAGGAGCCTTGAGTTACTCCTGTTACCCCAACTTTGTGCTTTTTTCTAAGGTTGCCATTCCTTTGCAGCTTATGAACATCAGACTAATATTTTTTCTGTCTTCCAACATTGTAGAAATGAGAAATTTCATGAATGGTATTGTTGCTAATAAATGTTTCTGCCTAAGAATTTGAATAAAATTTCAGCTGTTCCAATGATGCCTCAGTCTGGTATATTCTAACATTTATATACTCAGCATTTACCTTAGCTCTTTGTCAGGAGCCACTGTAATGCATGTGTTGCTAAAACTCCTTCTCTGGGGGAGTTATAAACGACTTCCACCCCCGCTCCTTCCAAGGTCCCAATGACAAACTGAGGTAGGATTCCACTGAATTCCATTCACCCTGGGGAACCAATGAGATTATTGTACTTAGTTACAGAGCCCGGGTGAGGGGGTGATACTCAGGTGATGGTCCTGTCACTCTCCCTGCCCTTCCTGTGCAAGATTGTCAACAGGCAATAGCCCAGCTGTGATCATCTTTAGCAAGCAGGCACAGCTTAGCTCAGGAAGATGGCGTCTGCCTGACTCAGGACAGCCCTGTATACTTTGTAATAAGCTATGACAACAGGTACAGCTGTCATTTCTTTCTCTTTTGAGACAGGGTCTCATGTAGCTTGGGCTGGCCTTGAACTCCTGATCCTCCTCTGCTCTCTTTGCTTCCCCTCTGGTTTGCCCTTTGTGTTATCTTTCTAAGATACATCATTTTTTTTACAGTTTGTCATTCACACACCATAAAATGGGCTCTTGACTTTTTTTTTTTTTTTTGGTCTTTTTGAGACAGGGTCTCCCTGTAGCTCCAGCTGTCCTGGAACTCACTATGTAGACAAGGCTGGCCTTGAACTCACAGAGATCTGTCTGCCTCTGCCTCCCGAGTGCTGGGATCAAAGGCGTGGCTGACTCTGATATTTTAAGAGATTCAGTATCTCAGCTGTCTTGCCTCTGAATTGCCAATGGCTCTTGTTAGCCCCCAGATAAACTTCTTCCTATCCGATGTCCCCTGTTCTCACAGCTTCTCCCTGAAAGCCCTTCATTTTAATTGTGGACTTTCCTCTTCGGATGACCCATCTTTCTAGAGATTGATAACAGACTTGCCCCAAACACAACCCTGGGATTTTCAGACACCAGTGACACAGAGAACAGCTTGGAAGTGTCCAGAAAGAGGACAGTTTCTACACAGAATCTTCAAAATGCTGGGCTGGAGAGATGGCTCAGTGGTTAAGAGCATGTGCTGCTCTTGCACAGGTCCTGAGTTCGTTTCCCAGCACCCATGTCAGACAGTTCACAACCACTTGTATCTCCATTGCTTCTGGCCTCCAGAGGTACCTGCACTCACATGCATATACCCCCACACAGACAGATACGTATACATAATTAAAAATAAAGACTCAAAGTGCTCAAACCAACACCTAAAGGAGCCAGTGAGCAGTGGTGCCTTAGTCTGAAGAGCATGGTCTGAGAAACCCGAGAGTCCATACATGCTCAAACAGCCAACAACGGGTTTCCAGATCAACTGTCGTCAGTGCTTTGTCAGGGTGCAGTGGCAGCATGGGTCTCAAATGGAGACATGAGATGTCCTTTCCACGGACAGCTGTCCTACCTGGTCTTTCGGGGGCCTTGCCACACTGTTATTTAGTTGGTGTCCTAGTTAGCTTTCTCTATTGCTGTGACAGACACCATGAACCAAGCTCTGTGGGATGGAGAGGGTTTATCTGGCTTACAGCTCACTGTCCATCAAGGGAAGCTAAGGCAGGAGCTCAAGTAGAGACCATGGAGGAACACTGCTTACTGGCTTGCACCTCTGGCCTGTGCACAGCCTGCTTTCTTATAAAACCCAGGACCACCATGCACAGTGGACTGTACCCTCCTACATCACTCAACAGTCAAGAAAATGCCTCACAGACATGCCCACAGGCCAGTCTGGTAGAGGAAATTCCCCAATTGAGGGTCCCTCTTCCCAGGTGTTTTGACAACTGGAGCTATTCAGCACAGTTGGTATGACCTTGGAGACTCATAGCCCCTAGGAGGAGGTGGAAAAGGTGCTTGGCTTTTGAGCCAGGTCAGAAAAGGCCTTTGTGCTAGAATCCTGGCTCTGGAGATGCTTACCCTGGCCTCCATGGGTGGGGATAAGCAGGCCATATCAGGAGGTCATATGGATGTGCCCTGCTCAATAGTAACTGCCAAGCCCAATTTCCATCATCCCACCTAGGTGCCAGATTCAGGAGTTACCAAAGAGCCTCCAGGGGACCCAGACTCAAATTTTGAGCCTGAGATGGGCCACATGGACCACAGAACTCACCAACTTCGGCAGGCTTTGCCGTAGAAAAGGATGATTGGAGGAGCTCCTAAGAGTAGAGGTGATGATTACAACCTCACACATTACAACATCCTGGGGAGAGTCTGGTCCCATTAGGGACCCAAGAACAGCGTGGAAAGGATAGAGCCCTGAGCCAGAAAGATGCAGTTTCAAATTCTCTGTGCTGTGTCCCAGCACTGGGACTTGGGCAGGTTAGGTCCTCTGTTCCTGTTTTCTTACAGAGAAGGGACCTGGTGGAATGATCCTTGCATAGGATGGCTGTGAGCTTAGCTGGCATCAAGTTAGGCCCTAGCACACAGTGAAAGCTCAACAGTGGCATCATTAGCCCAACTAATCCTCCTAGGCCCTCTATAGTTAGCTGGAGACAGCACAGTACTTGGGAGGGGCACCAGAAGTTCATGGTGCGCGAAGGTGAGATTTGCAATAACCTCCCAAAGCACTTTAGGTTTACCACAGCAGAGACTTGCCTATGTGTTCTAGTATGCATGGGTGTGTGTACCTGTAGATACAGGGAATGTACGTCTTGTTGCTCCTTTCCTATGGTGGCTGTCTGAGATCAGGCGTTCCACCCTGGGTGGGGTAGACCTTTGCTATCACCACCCTCAGTGTAGCCTCTATCACCCATGGACACACATTAAAGGTGCCAGTGGGGCCTGGTGAGAACCTCCTAGGCTAGGCTCCACCTTTGTCTTGACAGTGAGAACCTAGCTAGGCCTGTGTCCCACCCTCCACAGGTTAGCTGGGTCTCTAGGCTATGCCTGTGTTCCTGGATGAGAAACCGTGGCCCAAATCTTCCTTAGGGGACCCCTGGCCCCCAGCTGTGCAGGGAGCATAGGTCCTGGGGGGGCTCAGTGGGTGCAGATGTGCTGGGACTGCCAGGAATGCTGTGTGGACACAGAGACACTCCTTTTTGTCCCCCTGACTTTCCACATCACCCAAGATCAGGTCTGGGGTCCTGCTCCCCTGGCATGAGCCGGACTGGGGCAGGAGTTCTGGACTGAGGCCAGTAGGAAGGCATGGGGAGCTTCCCCACCCCCAAACCCTGGGTGGAGAGTGCCTTGGCTACAGCGATACAGCTAGAGCTGCCCGGTCCAATTCCTCTCATCCCGTGGCCAGGGTGCACCCGGAGCAGGCACCGAGAGCGCGCACCGAGTGGCCGCTGGAGCCTGCGGGCCGGGCCACTGGTCCAGTCGCTGCTGCGGCCTCGTGTCCGGTGTTCCGGTCCGGTGTCCTCGGCGCGGAGTCTGCGTCATCTCGCATCCCGGACCCCATGGAGCAGCTGCTGCGCACCGAACTGCGCACCGCGACCCTGCGGGCCTTCGGGAGCCCCGGGGCGGGCTGCATCAGCGAGGGCCGAGCCTACGACACGGATTCCGGCCAGGTGTTCGTCAAGGTCAACCGCAGGACGCAGGTGTGCAGCGGCCGAAGCCTGCGGGGCGGTGTTGGGGGAGGGGCAGGCGGGGGTTGAGGTGGGGGAGGGGCTAGCCTGGTCGCCCTGCCCGGTGCCCAGCGGTCATTTTACAGTCTTTGCTCTAGCACCTGCAGTCAGAGGGCCGGAGGATTCGTCTTGGCTGTGAGCACTTGCTTTCGCCTGCAGACACAGGCTCTTAGAGTCTTGAACTCACTGGGCATAGGCAGAGGTGAGGCCCAGCCCTAGGCTGCTTCTACCCACTGGGCTCCATTACCTCTCCTGCATCCTCCCCAGCAGGCGGAGCAAGGCCTGTCCCAGGACCAGGCCAGCGCTATCCTCACAGGCTATCTTGGTCACTATGGCCCTTAAAGCGGTCCTGTTTAAGAATGTTTAGAGCAGGCATGGTAACAACATACCTTTAATCCCATCCTTAGCAAGACGGTGAATTTAAGGGCAGCACCGCCTGGGCTACATGGGGAGCCCCTCCCTCAAAACAGGCCAACAACAAAAGAATGCATAGAAAACCCTAACAAACGCAGAAAGTTAACTGTAGGCCCTGAGAGCAGGCAAGCTGTAGATGGTGCAGCTGGGTGCTCCCTCTGCCCTGGATGGGTGCCAGAGGTCCTGTGCTCTGTGGACAGTGGTTCTGGGCGGTGTTCTGGTGGGCATGCTGGCCTGAGGGAAGGGAGACCCAGAGCAGCCCCTCCCAGCCCCTCCCTGCATCATTGGGCCCACCCCAGCTTTCCCCTTGAAACTCTCTCCTGCACACAGTTGGTGTTTTTTTTAAAAATATATTTAATTTATTATTATTTTATATGTATGAGTGTATTGCCTGCATGTATGTAAGTGCACCTGTGTTGTGCAGTGGCCATGAAGGTCAGAAGAGAGCATCAGATCCCCTGGAACTGGAGTACTGGATGGTTGTCAGCTGCCATGTGGGTGCTGGGAATCAAATCCAGGTCCTCTACAAGAGCAGCCAGTGCTCTTAACCACTGAGCCATCTCTCCAGCCCCCACCCCCCAGTTGGTGTTTAAACAAAGCAGGAGAGCAAGGGCTGGTAGGCGGGGTATAAGTGGTCTGAATCCTGGTCATTCTCTGCATTGTAGTTTGGGGGTTCACTGATGCCCTCTCAGGGTGGATGCTCAGCCCACACCTCTTGATCCCAGGTGCAGGCTGCCAATTTGAGGGTACCTGCGTGGTTTTCCCTGTGATAACTTTAAAGACAGGGGTTCTTTTCCTGTGTGAGATTAAGTGCTTTGACTTCAAATTTATTTTTAAATTTCTAAAACTTTAATTCTTGTGTGTGCATGTATGTATGTGTATAGACATGCATGTGTCACAGAAATGTGCGTGGAAGTCAGAGGACAACTCTTTTGGAAGTTAGTTCTTTTCTTCCACCTTTTTTGAGGCAGGGTCTTGTGTTTGCCACAGCATGGTGTACCCAGGCTAGCTGACCAGAGAGCCTTGGTGACTCTCCAGTATCCACCTCCCATCATGTGATAGGAGTACAGGGATTACAGAGCACGCTACCACACCTGACTTTTTACATGTTCCAGGGAGGCGGCAAGTGCTTTTACATGCTGAGTCATCTCCCTGGCCCAAGTTTAGTTTTTTACAGAAGCCTGCAATTCTATAGGAAAGTGTTCACGAACTGCATCGATAAATGCATGTTTTGAGCTAAGGATGTGGTACAGCACTTGCCTAGCAAGCACAGACGAAGCATGGGTTCAATCCTCAGCACCACAACTTTAAAAAAAAAAAAAAAAAAAGCATGCTTTCCATGGTGCAGAGAACAAAAATGAGAGCTCATGTAATGCAAAATGGGGCATTTGTGGAAATGCCCTGGAAACAAGAAGGCCTGGGTTCCAGCAGAGGCCTCTGGATAAATGGTGTACAGCTCTTCTGTGGCTTCCCTGGTCCCCACTGGAATGGAGCCAGGCCCTGCTGAGCTTCCAGCTCTTCCTTCCCTGACCCAAATGTGAGCCCAGGTCACTTCTACCATGCCCGAGGCTGCCCCCATTCAGAGTCAGGGAGAAAAGCAGGTAATCTGGGGGACCCAGGCAGCGTCCCAGGCTTGTTAGCTAACATTTCACATGTACCCATACCTCCCAGCACCCCTTGGCATCCCTCCCGTGGCCTGTGTATCTTCCACAGCAAGGGCTTGCTGTAGGGGTCTGCCCACAGGGGGACCTTTGAACTCTAGCCTCAGCCTGATCCTTTCTGCTCCTTCCCATCTGAAAGGGACCTTGTTTGCACCTGGGCCTTTGAGGGGTGGCTGTGGTGCTGGTTTTCAGCAAATGAAGGCACTTGGGCTTGTGGCTTCTGGCAAGGGCTATGAGTCCCTTGGCCTGGCTGGCAGGGCCCCTTTTGGTGTCCAGGTTTGCAGAGCTCATGAGGCATTTGGATGCAGGCCCGGCAGATGTTTGAGGGAGAGATGGCGAGTCTGGAGGCCCTTCGCAGCACTGGCCTGGTGCGGGTGCCTAAACCCATGAAAGTGATTGACCTGCCCGGAGGTGGGGCTGCCTTTGTGATGGAGCATTTGAAGATGAAGAGCCTGAGCAGGTGAGTGTGCACAAAGGGACTCAGAGACAGGGAGAGAAAAAGAGAGGGGGAGACTGACCAGAACACAGAGACACATGTACTGGAAGAGAAAGAGATGGAACATATGTGTACAGGCAGACAGAAACAGGTCAGAAATAGAAGCAGACATGGACACAAGACAGAGAAACAGAGATACAGAAGTAGAGAGAGGTGGGGAGAGAGAGAGTCCATTCTTAATGGAGGTGGATTATTGCTGGTTGCTGTTGTTTAGCTGTGATGAGACTGCATAAAGTAAGTGTATTTGAACCCACCTCTTGCTTTGTGATTTACAGTGTGCCAGTTCAGTTTGGGCTGAGGGAGACTGATCTATTATCTGGCGTCATAAATTTTGTCTCTATTACAGTTATGCGTGTTCATTGTATAAAACGTGGGAAGTGCAGACTTGAGTAAAGAAATCTGGCCACTTACAGTTCCATCAGGGAGTGGCCACAGCACTCAGCATGTGACTGCTGTCCCAGGGTCTCTCCTGTATGTGGCTTACATTTGCTTTTACAGAAGTTGGGGGTCTGAGTTTTGACTTCCCTTGCTCTGTGAGGCCTTGTGCCTGGTGCCCAGTGCCTGCCAGGAAGCTGCAGAAGCTGTCAAATGAACCCTCAGGGGTCTTATCATGCTTTATTTTTGGAAAGGGTGATCTTTCACTTTTAGAGTACTTTTAAAATATTTTAAACATTTCTCAAAACAGAATCCACTGGGTTGTGTTACTTGTTTGTTCTTTTTTTTTTTTAAATTTTTTTTTTTTTTGGTCTTTTTGAGACAAGGTCTCCCTGTAGCCGCAGCTGGCCTAGATTCACTATGAAGACCAGGGTGGCCTCGAACTCACAGAGATCTGCTACCTCTGCTTCCCAAGTGCTGGGATTAAAGGCATGTGCCACTACGCCCGGTTTTAAAAAATATTTTATTTATTATTTTTTTGTCTTTTTGAGACAGAGTCTCCTTGTAGCCCCAGCTGTCCTGGAACTCACTATGCAGACCAGGCTGGCCTCGAACTCACAGAGATCTGCTACCTCTGCCTCCCAAGTGCTGGGATTAAAGGCGTGTGCCACTACGCCCAGCTATTTTTATTTTATATGTATGAGTGTATTGCACCTGTGTCATGCAATGCCGCAGAGGTCAGAAGAGGGCTTCCGATTCCCCTGGAACTGGAGTTAAGGATGGTTTGTAGCCGCCATGTGGGTGCTGGGAATCAAACCCGGGTCCTCTGCAAGAGCAGTCAGTGCTCTTAACTGCTGAGCCATCTCTTCTTTGTTCTTTTAACTGGTGCCTTTCTTCTTTCCTTAGTCAAGCATCAAAGCTTGGGGACCAGATGGCAGACTTGCACCTTTACAACCAGAAACTCAGGGAGAAGTCCAAGGCTGGGGAGAACACAGTGGGTGCGTTCACATCATTGTCATTGTTTAACCTGGGCCCAGCCCATCAGCTACCCTGGATTTTGTCCATAGTCCTTTGTGGTGGTGTTTTAGTAATTGTTTGAATGACACCCCATCTCCCTTTACAGTGCATTAAAAACCCCCTGTTCACATGCATGTATGTCAGTATGAGTGTATGCTGTGTGTGCAGGTGCCTACAGAGGCCAGAAGAGGGCAGCAGATCTTCTGGAGCTAGAGTTGCAGGTGGTTCTGAAGTGCTAGCGTGGGTGCTGGGAACCTCTGAAGAGCAGCAATTGCTCTTAACCACTGAGCCATCTCTCCAGCCCCAGCTTTGTGAAAACGAGCTGATTATGCCATTTCAAGGGAGCAAATAAGTTAGTAGACTTGACTCTAGGTCAGCCCTTGAGTCTGTCCAGTGGGCTGAGGTAGGAAAGTCCTGGCAGGTCTGTTGTTGGTTACTCATCGCCATGTGTAATGAGTCTTCAGATCACCTGTGTTGGAGCTGTTTGAAAGCATGCAGCCAGGCCTCCAGAACATTCTGCTGAGGCCAGGATCTCTGTTGACAGGCTGTGGGGCTGAGGGCGCTGAGCCCCAGGGTGTGACCAAGTTCGGCTTCCACACCGTGACGTGCTGCGGCTTTATTCCCCAGGTGAGTGTCTGGGTGAGGGCATCCCTGCTTATTGATGGCCATTCCTGACCCCGTTTCATAACTGGTGACCCTCCCTAAGGCACTAGTGCTGGGCTTTTGACCCCTTGTTTTATGACAACATTGTTCTACATGTAGTACCTTTCACCAGCCCCAAGTTCTAAGGCTTCCTACTCCTTGGCTGGGCTGAGTGGGTCCTACAGCCATGGTGGGAAACTGCCGAAGGTGAGATCCTTGGATCCTAGAGCACTACCCACCACAGGAAGCATCAGCCGGGTTTGGTTGGGAAAATTGATGGTATTCCATACCAAGAACTAGCCACCATTCTAAGCATTTTGTGTGACTGAGCTTAGCAGTTGCTACAGCTGGTAAAGAGGCAGTGATGTCACTGATCTAAGAAAAGAGGAAAGTGAAGCCAGGAAACATTCCCAGAGACCCTGCAGCTGGTGAGTGGGAACCAGGATTGGACTTGAAGTCTGGCTCCAGAGATGGGCCTTAACCATTGCACAATGCTGACCTTCCTTGAGGCCTAATCCTTACACCCAGGTGGCATCTGCTTTTGGTAGCTCAGTGCAAAGTCCACATTGTTTTTTGGGCTTATGGCTCATGGCCTTTCCATGTAAGAGGCAAACCTGGGCTTGCCAACGTAGGCCTTTTGTTTCCGATGGGAAACTATCTTTCGTGACTACCAAGAGGAGGGAGCTCAGGCACTGGGAGTCTGGGCAGGTACACAGGGAATGCTGGGATACTGCATGGTGGACCTCAGTGCTTGGGGGGACCGGACAGGCTGCCGGGAGGGGTCTCTTGAGGTGTACCTGGTACCAAGGGGTAAACCCCAGGCTAACTGACTACAGCATCCAAGGGAGACTCCAGGAGAGGAGGATGACCTGACCATTTAGGCCACCTGCTGGGAGTCAGAGTGCTTCCACAAAGCATCCATGTCAAATCTCTTGACATTCATATGTGGCATTTATGCTGGCATGTGTTAAAGTCCATTCCACCATATGGCTAAACCATGATTTGCTTATCTATTCACACGCTGATGGATGTTTGGGTTGTTTCTAGCTTCTATTTTTACAAATAAAGCTGCTATGAACCTTTGTGTACAAGTCTTTGTGTGGACAAATGCTTCCATTCAACTTGGATGAATACATGGGGTGGGAAAGCCAGGGCTGTATGGGGAGTTACTAGAGTTTTAGGAAATTGTCACATGGGGCTGGAGAGATGGCTCAGTGGTTAAGAGCATTTACTGCTTTTGCAGAGCACCTGAGTTTGGTTCCCAGCATGCACATGTAAAAGCTCACAATCACTGTAACTCCAGGGGATCTGATGCCCTCTTCTGGCCTCTGTAGGTACCTACACACTCACACAGACACATATAAATAAAAAATAACTTTTAAAAAAGAAACTGCCACCTGTGTGCACAAGGCTGTACCAGTTTGTTCCCTCCAACTCCTAGGAGAGTTCTGGTTTTCCTGTTCTCATCTGTTTTCTGGAGATTTGTGTTGGCTTTTTGTTTTGTTTTTGTTTTTGAGATAGGGTCTCCCGGCAGCCCCAGCTGGCTTGGAAATGGCTATATAGACCAGGTTGGCCTCAAACTCACAGAGATCTGCCTGCCTCTATGTCCCGAGTGCTGGGATCAAAGGCGGGCGCACCTTGCTGGGCTTGTTTGCTTTTTTAGTTGTACCAGTTGGGGCAAAGTGATAGCTCCAAGGCCTGGCTTTGTATCTCCATGATGACTTAATGTGGAGACCCTGTGCACTGCACATTTGCTAACTCTATGCCTTCTTTTTTGCATACATACATAAATGCATAAGGGGAGGCTTGTTGAAAAAAAGAAAGGTTTTACTGGGAGGGAGATGGGGATAACAGGACAATGGGGGGAATGTGATCAAAGTACTTTTTGTTTCTGTGTGTGTGAAATTGTGGAAGGATAGTTGTTTTTTTTAATTAAAAATTTTGGGCTGGGTGTGGTGTAATGTCTTTAATCCCAGGCAGAGGCGGGAGGATCTCTGTGAGTTCAATGCCAGCCTGGTCTACATAGTGAGTTCAGGCCAGCTAGGGCTACAAGGATACCATGAAAATTTTTATGCCTTTAATCCCAGCACCCGGGAGGCAGAGGCAGGCGATCTCTGTGAGTTCAAGGCCAGCCTGGTCTACATAGTGAGTTCCAGGACAGCTGGGGCTACAGGGAGACTCTGTCTCAAAAAGACCAAAAAAAAAAAGCTGGGCATGGTGTCATGTACCTGCAAGTCCAACACTGGGGAAACGGAGATATTGGCCATCCAGTGTAGCCAAACTGGGGAGCTCCAAGTTTCAATGAGAGACCTTGTCTCGAGAAATAAGATGGTGAGCGAGTGACTGGAGAGATAACTTAGGTGGTGAAGTACTTGTCTCAAAAGCACGAAGGCTTGAATTTGGAACCCAGAGTCTTCATAAAAAGCAGATGTGGTGGTGAGTATCTGTAATCCTGATGCTGGGTGAGGGATAGCAAGACCAGATACTGGTGATTGCTGGCCAGACATCTAGCCAATCTATGAGACCCAGCCTCAAAAAATATGGTGGAATGAGATGGAATATTTCCATCAACCTTTGGCTTCTACATGCATACCAGTAAACATACATGCCATGGATATGTACACATGTGAATGCCTACATACAGATAAAGTGGAAAGTGATTGAGGAGATCTAGCATCAACCTCTGGCTTCCACATTCATACACACACACACACACATACACACACACACACGAAAGCTACTCTTTTCCCCATGGTAAGTATGAACTCAGGGCCTGTGTATGAAAGGCAGGTAAATTCTCTGCCACTGAGCTGTATTCCCCATTCTAAAAACAACCCTGATTTTTATATATCTAGGTTGTGTCTTGAAATCTTGCTAAATCTACTACACTGTGGTTTCTTCTTTCTTTTGGAAGTTTTCTATTTTCCTCTTCTTATAGGGTCTCTGGCCCTACCAGGTTATGACCTTACCCTTTGAGATTTCATTTAACCCGTTTTCCCTTAAAAGCTTTATCGCTGGTCTGGCATCGAGCTCAAAATTCTCCCCCTTCAGCCTTCCAGGTGCTGAAGCCTATCTGTTAATTCAGTCACCTTCGATATAAAATTTTAGGAGGAAGACATAATTCAGAACTTATCACACTGTGACTACAGATTCATCTGTTTCTCCTGTACTTGTCTGGTCTTTGCTTTGTTTCTGATTTGTGTTTAGAGACAAGGTCTTACGATGTAGTCCTGGCTGGCCTGAACTTGCTATGTAGACTAGGTTGACCTCAAACTCAGAGATATTGCCTGCCTCTGCTTGAGTGCTGCTGGGATTAAAGGCGTGCAACCACCATGTGCAGCCCCAGTTTTCACGTACTTTGAAGCTCTGTCATCAGAACCTAATCACTTAGAGGTACTGCAGAGTGTGGTGGCACATACCTGTTATCCTAGCATCTGGAGGTGAAGCAGGGGTTTAAGGCCAGCCTGGGATACATAGTAAAACTTGGTCTTCAAAATCCAAATAACAACCACCACCAGGTCCTCTTCATCACTTGACCATCTTTTCAGTGTAAGATGACTTTCTTTGTATTTCACAGTATTCTTTGGAAGTCTATGTTGTCCTATATGAATGCAGCCACTTGTCTTTTTCACCAGTGTTAAAAATGTATACACATTTTCTATCCCTTTAACCTATTTGTTTTTCTATATATCCACAAAACTTATCATTGGTTCTTGCTGTATTTTTCCAATCTGTATCTATTTGTGTGTGTGTGTGTGTGTGTGTGTGTGTGTGTGTGTGTGTCACTGGGCATTGAAGCTAGGGACTCACGCATACCATGCAAGCACTCCACCCCTGAGCCGTGGCCTCAGTCCAGTTTCTGTCATCTAAGTATTTTTTTCTGACCATTTGTACTTTGCGTTAACCGGTGTGTTTGGGTTTGCCTCTGCCACCCTCATTCACCCTGGCTGTTCTTTGGTCCCTTCCCCGCAGTTTCTTGTAGTGAAGCTGTTTCATGACTCCATTTATATCTTCACTTGGCTCACCAGTGTTTGCTGCATTTTGGGGGTTTGCTTGGGAGTTCCGGCAGGTTCCACCAAAGCTGTCCCATGGCTCTGAGTTGCTCTGATCTCTCGTTGCTCAGGTGAACGAATGGCAGGACGACTGGCCAACCTTTTTCACTCGGCACCGGCTCCAAGCACAGATGGACCTCATCGAGAAGGACTATGCTGACCGAGAGGCACGGGAACTGTGGTCAAGGCTCCAGGTAGGCACAACAGTTACTGCTCTGGAAAGAGGTTGTCTTCTTAAGAGCTCACCACATGCATTTGGAGTCCTCTGGGACTGAATCGGGGTGAGGGCACGGGTGCCAGAGCAGAGCCAGCCAAGCTTTGGGCGCGCCAGCACCCTTCTTATGCTCTAGGTCAGCAGGTATTTAACTTTTGTCAGATGGAATAGACACCTGGTTCATCGTATTTACTTACTGAGTGGAACACTTGTGCATTCTTCCCCGTTTTTTTTTTTCTGCCAAAGGAAAAAAATATGTCATTTTTGGTGAAGATGTAAATTCCAGCATGACTCATTTCAAAATACAACTCTCAAGATATGAGGAACAATTCAAATGTTACTCCAGGGTGAGCATGCCTCAAAGACATTTTAACTCCATAGTGTGGTAACTAGCAGGATACAGAACAGGTATAGATATGTATGTATGTTCAGTAAAATAAAGTACAGAGCCTAGGGTGTGCCAAGGTAGGGACCAAATTGGTTCATATACTATAGCACAAAAAAGTAACTGTATAAGGGTTTTCTGTAAGGTTTCTGTTCTTAACTAGAAGTGACGGGAGAGCCAGACCGAGCCTGCATTCAGGAATCCGGTAAGCCTTCTGGCCAGGCCTTTTAGACGACTTGGCTGGACTCAGGGCTAATCCGTGGTGCTTTGTGGCTCTCGGAGTCCCGCGATAACCCTGTGCACTAATTGCTTTCCCAGGTGAAGATCCCCGATCTATTTTCCGGCTTAGAGATTGTCCCCGCCCTGCTCCACGGGGACCTCTGGTCAGGAAACGTGGCTGAGGACGACCAGGGGCCGGTTGTTTACGATCCCGCCTCCTTCTACGGCCACTCTGAGTTTGAATTGGCAATTGCGATGATGTTCGGCGGCTTCCCCAGGTCCTTCTTCACCGCCTACCACCGGAAGATCCCCAAAGCCTCCGGGTTCGACCAGCGCCTGCTGCTCTACCAGCTATTCAACTACCTAAACCACTGGAACCACTTCGGGCGGGAGTACCGGGGCCAGTCCCTGGGGGTGATGAGAAAGCTGCTCCGGGAGCGCGCCGGGGCCCAATAAAGCCGTGCGTGACGTCTGCACTGCCTGCCTGGCTGGGCTAGCTCTGGCTACTCCCCCACGCTCAGCGCCAGGCTATGGCTGGGGCAGGGCCGGTGGGTGCTCGAGGTCGGTCGTGGGTCATCCGAGCTCGGCCGTGGGTGCTCGAGGTCGGTCGTGGGTCATTCCGAGCTTGCTGCTCTCAGCAGGGCTTTGCCTAAGCAGGTGCTAGCCCACGGACCCGAGCTGGCATCTCTGCAGTAGACGCAGGCGCCCGAGGCTTTGGGCCTTGGGCTACAGTCGCCACCAGACCCTCTGCACACCCCATTTTCCTTCTGAAAGCATTTATTTTCTGGGTAGGTGTGTACGTGTGTGCACACGCGCACATGAAAACCAGAGGGCAGCGTTCGCGTCTCCTTCCCGTACGTGGGGACTCGAACTCACGGCCCCCGCTCTTCAGGCCACGCCGTAGTGGCTCCACCCCTACTTGCTGGAGGCGCCTATTCTCGGGGCGGCCACGGTTTACGCATGCGCTCTCTGCGCGCGGCTTCGACGCGGAGCTCTTTTGTCGCCCGCTGGGCCCCGTACCAGGGTCGGAGGGCTCGGGGCGGAGCCGGCGGCGGCGGCGGGTGGCTCTTTTTTCGCTGGTGCGGGTATGGCTCTGACTGATGACCTCGCGGGCCTGGCCCAAAGCTATGCACCGGCCGCGGGCGCGGAGGACGAGGTGGAGGACGACCCGGCGCAGAAGGTCGCCCTGGAAGCGTTCGGGGAGAGCGCGGAGACGCGCGCGTTGCTCGGGAGCCTGGCCGCGGTGCACGGCCGGCGCGCGGCCCGGGAGGTGGCGGAGGAGCGCTTCCGCGGTGCGCGGCCGGGGCGGGGGCGCGGGGAGCTGAGGCCGCGGGGCAGGGAGGACCAAGCGGAGCGGGGATCGAACCCGCGGCCGGAGGGCGCGCTGGCCGGGGAGGGGCGGGCCGGGAGGCTCTGTGAACTGCACCGCCTGTAGCCAGGACCTGGGCTGCAGGCAGGGCGGGGAGTTGTCTGTGCTTGGTCCAAATCCTCCTCGGTTACACCTTTACAGTCATTCATAGCGGGCTCTGCCCAAATGTGCTCTTTGGTAATTAAGACTTCGCACCGTAGTAAAACCATCCTTGTGGATTCTTTTAGCTACCGAACTCTCTCCCTGATGTCTTTCTTGGTTTGGAGTGATGGGGCTCTGGCTTTAGGAGAGCAGGGTGGCGGGCTTAGTGGAAGGGTGGGGAATCTGAGGTGGGCGTGGCAGGGGAGAGTTGTAGAGGCAAAGGAATCGTTGGGTTGGGGAGAAGCAAGTTCGATTGCTGCCGGGGCAGGAAGCTAGTGGCCAGGATTAAGGAGGTCTGGCAAGTCAGAGCCCTGTAGAGTGTTGGAGAGGGAGGGCTTGATGCTTGGCCTAGGAGCATTGGGGTGGGAGGGGCGCACCTAGGGGAGGAGAAGTTGTGGAAGTGCAGAAGAAACCCAGTTTGGGAGGGAGGGTTCAGAAGAGGTGGGAGAAGAGGACTCTAGAATTGGAGTGGCGGTCACAGTGGCCCTCAGGAGCCTGTAGCGTGTTGGGCACCCATGTAGCACCTGTCAGCAAGCATCCAGGTGTGTCAGCTCCTTGTAAGGGCTTAGGAAGAGAGGAGCTGCCCCATGGGAGTTTCTGAGACAGCAGGAGCGTGTCTAAGGGTCGCCGACTTAATTTTCATGTTGTTTCCCTTTCAGTAATTATGGATAAATACCAAGAACAGCCTCACCTCTTGGACCCACACCTTGGTAAGCAGAGAAGCTGGTGATGTTAACGGTTCAATCACAGATGAGTGTAAAGACCCTGTCAGGGTGCTGGCACCGTGTGTGCTGCCGGCAGCAGGTGTCAGAAGAAGTGTCCCCGTGCTCTTGTCTTGTTGGCATTGGTCTTGTGGGCCTGTGGTGACAGTGGCAGGAGGTTCAGGTGCCATTCTAGGCTGTGTGCAGATGCGTGTCAGCTGCTTTCCCCCTGCTGCTATGTGAAGAACAGGTCTTTTCTCCTTACTCATGGTTTAGTCTGTTGTGTGGGCACATGTCTTTCTGGTAATTGCCACACAGGGTCATGTGCTCAGGAAAGTTTTCATCAGATGGAGGACATCTGTCCATTTTATAGGTGGAGACGCTAAGGCTGGATATCACAACTTCAGTATAAGGAGAGTGACTTTTCACTGTTTTCTTTATATTTGAAACTATTTCATACTAATTGCATTTTTTTGGTTCTCTTTTTTAAAAAAACAATTAAAAAAAAAATCAGCCAAGCAGGCATGGTGGTGCATACCTTTAGTCCCAGCACTCGGGAGGCAGAGGCTGCAGATCTCTGTGAAACTGAGGCCAGCCTGGTCTACATAGTGATTTCCAGGTCAGCTGGGGCTACAGGGAGACCCTGTCTCAAAAAAACCAAAAAAAATTTTTATTTTATGTATATGAGTGTTTTATGTGCATGTATGTAAGTGCATCATGTGTGTGCAGTACCCATTGAGGTCAGAAGAGGACATTAGATTCCCTGGAATATGAGTTACAGATAATTTTTAGCTGCCATGTAGGGGCTGGGAACCAAACCCCCATCCTCTGCAGGAGCAGCCAGTGCTGTTAACTGCTGAGCCAGCTCTCCAGCTGCTCTTCCTGAGACAGTCTTGCAATGTAGCCCTGGCTGGCCTTGGATTCATGGTAGCCCTCCTTCCTCAGCCTCCCAAGGGCTCAGGTTGCAGGTGTGAGCTACAGCGCTTGGCTGGTTTTTCTTTTTTTGAGGTAGGGTCTTGCTACGTAGCCCAGGATGGCCTCAAGTACTCTTGGTGCTTTTTTGTCTTCTTCTGAACGAAGTTTTGCATAGGTCCCACAGCTGGTGAACTTGCAGGAGGGATTTAACACCCCGCCCCCCCAGCCACTGTGTTTTATCCTCTAAGATAGGGCAGGTGGCTGATGTCAGCTGAGGGAGGTGGAGCAGTGGATGCCCCAGGCCTCATCTGACAGTGGGCTTTGGATCCCTTGTCCCCTTGGAATGATACAATCACTGCCTGGGAGGTGCACTTGACCCCTTTGGGTGATAGATAGCCTTGGACCTGCAGCTCTGCTGTGGAGTAGGAGTGTGGTGCTTACTGTATGCCCTCCAGTACCCATTGATTTTTCATTTCTCATCTGGGAAGTGCGGACAGGCTCTTTTTAGAAGGAGAGAATGCGTGTCAGTGCTGGTCCTTTCCCAAGTTTGGCATGTTTTGTGCCTTCACTTCTGCCGTTCAGTGTTCTGTGTGGTGTGTGGGCTTATTGAGATTTAATACATTGGGTTGTGAAGACTATCATCTCTTTTTTCTTTTTTTTGTCTTTTTGAGACAGGGCCTCCCTGTAGCCCCAGCTGTCCTAGAACTCACTATGTAGACCAGGCTGGCCTTCAACTCACAGAGATCCGCCAGCCTTTGCCTCCCAAGTGCTGGGATTAAAGGCGTGTGCCACCACTGATCCTGAACTTGTGATCCTCCTGTCTCAGTGTTCCTGGCCTGTGCCACTAAGCTTGGTCTCTTCCTTTGTGTTTGGCTTATTCCTTGAGTGACCTAGTGTTTGCAGTATCATTTTTTATTTTCTGCGTAAGAGTATATTGCCTGCATGTATGTGGGTATATTCCTGTCATGCAGTGCCCATAGAGGTCAGAAGAGGGCATTGGATTCCCTGGAACTGGAGTTACAAATGGTTGTTACCTGCCATATGCTGGGAATCAAACCCAGGTCCTCTGCCAGAGCAGCCAGTGCTCTTGACCACTGAGCCATCTCTCCAGTCCTGAAATACCATTTCTGCCTGTATTCAGTGCTCATCAGTGCTAGCCTTGGTGGCAGACCTGCTGTCCTCCCTCTTCTGGTCCCTGCTCCTTTTCTGCCTCACGTTCTTGTTAGTTGCTTTATAGTATATCTTGTCTAGCATCGTACTTTTTTTAAAAACTGTTTTCCAGTCCTTTCTTTAATGCAGATGAACTGTTAAATACATAGATTCACGTTTGGGGATTGTTTTTGTGAGATTTGGTTTAGGCTGTTGGTAATAATGCACTGTCTTTGGGTAGACATGTTTTTTCTTACATGACTATTGAAGAGTGGAATTTCTGGGTTGTGTAGTAAATGTTTCTTGTAGTAAACTGCTGTACTGTTCCATAAACATTGAGTCATCACGCATCACTGCCAGTCTTTCTGTTGGTGGGCGAGTAGTGTCTTTTGGTTTTATTCTGCATTTCTTAGGTGTGAATTATAATTATTTTTATTAAGATTTATGGACAATAGGGCCAGGTGTGGTTGTGCATGCCTTTAATCCCAGTGGAGGCAGGTGGATCACTGTGAGCTCAAGGCCAGCCTGGTCTACATAGTGAGTTCCAGGCCAGCTGGGGCTACAGCCTTGTTTCAAAAAGACAAAAAAAAAAAATTATGGCACAGCACACAGTGTGCTCTGTTGACTGTTCATGTGTGTTTGTATGTCTGCTGTTGGGTGGAGTGCTCCATGAATCTTCCTTGAGTAGGCAGGGCGGTCGTGCTGTTAGGTCCTCGCTGATTTTCTGTTTGCTGGGCCCTGTTTTTTTGTTTTTTTTTTACCCCCCTGCTCTCCTTTTTTGCTTTATTTTGGAGTTCAGGGATTTGTCCTAGTACAGGATTTCCAGGCTTCACAACAAATTGAGCCTTTGTCTCTAGACGTGCCCTCTAGTTTTGGTAGCGTTCCTTGTTCCTTAGTCTCCTTTGAGGGCTACCCGCTGGTGATGGCGATTCATCTGCTGCATGTTTCTTTGTGTGTGTCGGTTCTTCCCATGGGTTGGACCTGACTGTCTGTGTGTCTTATGTCTTTGGTATTCCTCTTTGGCATTGGCATTGTGACCGGGTTAGCCACCTTTCTCAGGACTTGCTTTCTATTTATTGCATCTGTTTTTTGGGGTTGTTTGTTTTAAACTCTGCCTACTACTTTCTTTTGTATTGATTAAACACCCTTTGGTATTTTGTTTTATTTCCACTGCATCCTCAGTAGCTATTTTTTTTTTCTCTCTTTTGTCTTTTTGAGACAGGGTCTCCCTGTAGCCCCAGCTGGCCTAGAACTCTATTATGTAGACCAGGCTGGCCTCAAACACAGATATCCGCCTGCCTCTGCCTCCCGAGTGCTGGGATTAAAGGCGTGCACTACCACGCCCAGCATTTTTTTGGTTCTTACTTGAGGCTTAACCATGTGCATCCTCAGTGTATTACAATAGACCCTCAGATAATATGTGTCTCATAGCATGATGGAAATTTTCAGAGGATTCTTTTGTGTATTTCTTTCTTTTGTTTTGTCTTTTTGAGACAGATCTCCCTGTAGCCCCATCTGGCCTAGAACTCTATGTAGACCAGGCTGGCCTCGATCTTACAGAGCTCTGCCTGCCCCGCCTCTGCTGGGATTAAAGGTGCATGCCATCACGCCTGGCTTTTGTGCTACTTTTGTCACACATCTTTCCTGTTTATTATAATTTTTGCTTTACACATGCATTTTAAAAAAGATTTTATTCTCCTGGAACTGGAGTTACATGTGGTTGTGAGCTGCCCTACGTGGATCCTGGGAGCCAAACGTGGATTCTGTGCAAGAGCAGCAAGTGCTCCTAACTGATGAGCCATCTCTTCAGCTGCACACTCAGATTTTTTTTTAAATTTAATTTCTTTCTCTCCCTCCCTTCCTTCCTTCCTTCCTTCCTTCCTTCCTTCCTTCCTTCCTTCCTTCCTTCCTTCCTTCCTTCCTGTGTATGCGTGTATTTTATGTGTACGCGTGTATTGCCTGCATGCAGGTAAGTGCACCCATGTCGTGCAGTGCTGGCAGAGGTCAGAAGAGGTATTGGATCCCCTGGGACTGGAGTTACAGACAGTTGTTAGCTGCCACGTGCGTGGTGGGATTCAAACCTGTGTCTTCTGCAAGAACAACCACTGTTCTTAACTGTTGACCCATCTCTTCAGCCCCTCAGATTTTTTTTAAAAAGAAATAAAAAAGGGGGCTGGAGAGATGGCTCAATGGTTAAGAGCACTGGCTGCTCTTGTAGAGGACCTGGGTTCGATTCCCCCACTCACATGGCTACTAACAACTGTCTGTAACTTCATTCCAGGGGATCCAAAGCCCTCTTCTGAACTCTGCGGGTATTGCGTGACAAGGGTGCATCTACCTCATACACATAAAATTTTTAAAACAATGAAGAAAAATAAGTCTGTGGTGTTTATGTATTTGCTTTTCAGCTTTGTTCGCTTCGTGTAGACAAGTTTTCCATTTGACATTTACTTTCTGCTTGAAATTTTACTTTACTATTTTTTTTTTTTTTTTTTTGGTCTTTTTGAGACCGGGTCTCCCAGCTGTCCTAGAACTCACTATGGAGACCAGGCTGGCCTTGAACTCACAGAGATCTGCCTGCCTCTGCCTCCCAAGTGCTGGGACTACAGGTGTGCATCACCATGCCTGGCTTACTTTACTATTTCTTTAAAAAAATAAAAAAAAAAATGTAATATATATGAGTCTTTTGCCTGCATGTATGTAAGTGCACCATGTTTCACAGTGCCCAGAGAGGTCAAAAGAGTGTGTCAGATCCCCTGGAATTGGAGTTACAGTTGGTTGTTAGCTGTAAGAACAGCCAGTGCTCTTAATCACTGAGCCATCTCTCCAGCCCCAATATTTCTATAGTACAGATTTATTGGTAGCATCTTTCAACTGGTGTGTGTGTGTGTGTGTGTGTGTGTGCATGTAAGTGAATGTGAGTGTGTGGATGTGTGAGTTTGTGTATATGTGTGAGCGTGTGCATGTATATGTGTGTATGTAGAGCCCAAGGTTGATGTCAGGAATAATCCAACGTTGATCTTGCAGCTTATTCATTGAGGTGAGGTCTCTCAGTTGAACCCAGACCTTGCTAATCATGCTAGAATAGTAGCTTGCTCTGGAGACCCTCTGTCTCTGCCTTCTGAGAAGGAATTACAGGTAGGCCGTGCCCACCTGACACGTGGGTTTTGGGGATGCAAACTCTGGTTCTCATGCTTACCTAGTAAGCTAGCTCCTTGGTGCCCCCTTGGTTCTTTTCCACTGGAACCAGGCCTCACCAAGTAGGCTAGACTGACTGCCGAGGGAGCTCCAGGAAGCTACCTGTCTCCGCCTTCATAGCGCTGCAGTTACCGTGTGATTACAAGTGCATGCCACCATGCCAGGTCCTCATGCTTGTGTGGCAAACTCCTTATTGATGGAGCTACTTCCCAGACTCTCAACTTAAAAAAATTATTTCTAATTATGTGTATGTGTATGTGTATGTGTATGTGCGTGGGTATGTGCAAAGTGTGTGCCCGCAGAGGTCAGAGGTGGTGGGTCCTCTGGAGCTGGAGTTACAGGTGTTTGGGTTGTGAGCCTCCTGATGCAGGTGCTGGGAACTGAACTCAGCTCTTGCCAAATCATTTCTCTAACTCCTCAATTAAAAAAAATGTTTTTGAAAAAAATGACATTTATTTTGCGTGTGTGTGTGTGTGTGCGTGTGTGTGTGTGTGTGTGTGTGTATCTGTATGGATGTTCAGCTGCATGGGGATCAGAGGACAACTTGCAGGAGTTGATTCCCCTTCCACCACCTGGGTCCTGGGGATTGAACTCAGGTTGTCAGGCTTGGTGGTAGGTGCCTTTACCCACTGAGCCATCCCTGTAGCCCCTCAACTCTTGGTAGTTTATACCCTTGGTTTTGAAAGATAGGTGGCTATTTAGAATTCTAAGTTGATAGTTTTTCTTCAGGTCCTTTAAAGCCGACGGTTGTCTTTTGGCATTATTCCTGACGTTGACGTCTGTGTTCATTCTCACCTTTGTCTGTGACTGCTATTTTTGTCTGATTGTTCTTAGCATGTTCTTTGTTTTGAACAATTTGATTACCATGTGCCATGGTGTGGTTTTCTGTTTGTTCTGTTATTTATCAAACCTTTTGGGTTAGTCAAATTTAGACGTTTGTGCGGTTGTATGTGTGATCATTAGTTTGTCAACTTGAAAGAATCTAGAAACATCGGGGAAGAGTCTTGGAGAGGGATTGTTTATGTTGGGTTGGCCTGTGAGTGTGTTTGTGGGGGAGTGTCCTAACTGCCACTGTGGTGATGCCATTCCCTAGGCAGGGTCCTGAACTTACAAGAGTGGGGAAACTGAGTTGAACAGGAGCAAGTGAGTTTGAAATCATTCTCTCTGCTTTTACTGTGATGTGATTAGCTGTTTTAAGTTCCTGCTGCCCTAACTTCAACTGTGGTGGATGGCACTCTGGGATTCTGGAATTGTGAGTTCAATATAAGTTTTTCCATCCTAAGTTGCTTTTTGTTAGGCTGTTTTATCACAGCTGCAGAAATGAAATTAGAAACTACCCAGAAAGTGGAATTGTTGCTGTGATGACTGTATTTTATAGTGCATTACGTTGAGACTGGGGACAAGGGGTTAGGGTTAGGGTTTAAAGTGACATCATTATGTGTCAAGTTGACAAGGGCTGGATGATGCTTAGTTTGACATAATCTAGAAACCCTATACATCACCAGGTGTTTTAACTGGTTAATTTTTTGTCTCCAGAATACTGTAAGGTGGCAGGGTGTGGTAGCGTACACCCCAGCACTTGGGAGGCAGAGGCAGGCGTGAGTTTGAGGCCAGCCTGGTCTACATAGTGAGTTCCAGGCCAGCTGGGGCTACAGGGAGACCCTGTCTCAAAGTGACCAAAAGGGGGCTAGAGAGATGGCTCAGCAGTTACGAGCACTGTTTGCTCATGTAGAGGATCTGGGTTCAGTTCCCTGCACCCACATGGTGGCTAACAACTATCCATAACTCCAGTTCCAGGGGATCCAATGCCCTCTTTTGGCCTCTGCAGGCATTGCACACCACAGGTGCACTTACGTACATATAGGTAGTACACTCATACACATAAAGTTAAAATAATAATAAAAAAAAAGAACACTGTAGTTTGATAGGGAGTCGAGTAACTTGCAGGTTGCATCTGTTCTTCCAACCCTTTGAGGCTTTGTTTGTCTTCTAGCCTTTCTCTAAGGTAGCCGCACCATGAAGAGCTGATCTTTCTGGAATGTCCCCCTGTTGTCCTGGTCAGCACGACATGAACCCTAGGAGCAGTTTTCCATAGTACTCCCTGGTAGTCCTTCCTAAATTGGCCTTGTGGGCTGTCCCCGTGCTTGTGGGTTACCCCTAAGTTAGGGGCTGTCCCCATGTTGGGAGCCGTTCCAGTGCTGTGGGCCGTCTCCATGCTATGGGCCGTCTCCATGTTGTGGGCCATCCCAGTGTTGTAGGCCGTCTCCATGTTGTGGGCTGTCTCCATGCTATGGGCCATCCCAGTGTTGTGGGCTGTCCCAGTGTTGTGGGCTGTTCCTGTGCTGTGGGTTGTCTCAGTGTTATGGGCTGTCTCCATGCTATGGGCTGTCCCCATGTTGGGAGCTGTTCCAGTGTTGTGGGCTATCCCAGTGTTGTGGGCTGTCTCTGTGTTGTGGGCTTTCCCAGTGTTGTGGGCTATCCCAGTGTTGTGGGCTCTCCCAGTGTTGTGGGCTGTCTCCATGTTGTGGGCTATCCCAGTGTTGTGGGCTCTCCCAGTGTTGTGGGCTGTCTCTGTGTTGTGGACTATCCATGTCCATGCTTGTGAACAGCCTTCTTGAACTCATTTCTCCTGTCATTGTACTCTGCCCTGCCCTGTACTGGGTTTTGAACATGGGCTCTGTGTGGATAGGAGAAGATGGCTGTGCCCTGCATGATCCTCTCCTTCCTCTTTTCTGTCTTTATGCATTGGTTTAGCCTGGATTACTGATAAATCATAATAGTTGTAGCAGGTGCCATCTGTAAAATATGGTATCAGAGGACTGAAAATACAGCTCTGTGGTTGGGTGCTTGCCTAGCATGTGTGAAGCTCTAAGTCCAAGTCCAAGCACTGGAAAAAAAAAGAACAAAGAGCTACTTGGCCAGTGAGATGGCTCAGCAGGTAAAAGCATTTGCCACTAAACCTGATGATCTCAGTTTGCTCCTTGGGACCCATGTGGTAGAAGGAGAGAAATGACTCCCATATGTATGCCATGGCATGCACTCATGTACACACATACACACACTAAAATAAAATAAATGGAAAAAAATAACGGTATCAGAGCCCAATTTTAGACACTCTCCTTATATTTTGAAAATGGGAGTAAGTGTTGTCTTGGTGACTTCCTTCCCAAGATGGCCAAGACGAGCATGTGTTTCTTTGCTGTTGACTCTTGGTTCCTTAAACTCACTAATACTGGAGCGTTCGTCTGTCCTAGATGGCACCATTTTAATTTTGATGTTTCAGCATTGTGTTTAATTCATGGCAATGTTTTGTGTCCGTTTTCCCCTAGAGTGGATGATGACCTCGTTGCTGGACATAGTGCAGAATGAGACGTCTCCGCCTGCCCTCGTACATCTGGCTTTTAAATTTCTTTACATCATCACCAAGGTAATGGTGCATGGCACTGTAGGGTGGACGGATACTTTCTTCTGTGCGTGATCTAGAAGTTAACGAAGTGGTTTTTCTTGGGGAACATGCTTCTTGGGTCTCAGTTCTTAGTGATCTGGGGTCCTTTGGCTGGAGCAAAAAGTTTCTTATAAGGAAAAAGCAGAAAAGCTTGATAGAAACAGAAATGCTTCTCAAGCTGTCGTGTGTGGATAAGTGTCCTGGGGAGTCGTACCCGGCAGCTCTGTGGAGGAGGTCTGGAGCTTTTTCTACAAGCTGCTCCATTGATGCCCGTGTGCTGGCCTCAGATCTAGAGTCACGGGAGTGACTTTGAGTTATCTCTGTGAGGGTTGTGGGTGTCAGGGAACATGTTCTAGCGTTCCTGCTGTGCAGCTGGGGAGGCCCATACTGGAGAGACACCTGGATGTTTCACAGAAGTGGTGCCCTTTGAGGTGCATGGGGGCATAGTCCTCACAAACTTCCAGGAATAGTTTCTGAACAGAGAAAATAGAAACAAAAGTTTTGAGCTTGTAACATGCCTGTATTTCTGATGCACAGTGTATGATTTATTATCCAGATTGAGACAGAATAAATTTAATGAATAAATGAGTTAAGAAATAAGGATCTTTTCTGTTCCTTTGGTCTTATGAAGTTGTACTGTGATGTGACAGAATTCTCTTCAATCAGTGGAAGGCATGAGTAGTGATTTAAAAAATTTTTTTTTTGAGACAAGAGTCTCCCTGTGCCCACATCTGGCTGGCCTGGAAACTGGCTATGTAGCCTATGCTGACCTCAGTCTCACAGAGCTCCGCCTGCCTCTGCTTCCTGCATGCTCAGAATAGAGGCATGCGCCCCCTGCCCAGCTTGGGTGGTGGTTTTTGATGAGAGGATAAAGATGATTTTACTGTTCTCTGTTTTCTAATTATAAATACTTTAATGTCTTTTTATCAGGTTCGAGGATACAAAGTATTTCTGCGTTTATTTCCTCATGAGGTAGCTGATGTTCAGTCTGTGTTAGACATGCTCACGGGTCAGGACCCTAAAGACCACGAGGTGAGGACCCCACCTCCTTCTCCCGGCTGGCTGTGCCCTCCCCGGCCACCCCACCTCATCTTTCTTGGGTCGGAGGTGTTTGATGTCACCCCATCCTTCACTCCTAACTCTTAACCCTTCAGCTCCCACACATCTGCTTTAAAATGTGTCCCTTACAAAGAAGAAAGAATGCCTTTTAACTCACTGACTGTGCTAGGTCTCCAAGGTGTCCCCCGTCCCCCCAAGGTCCATGGCACGCTAGGGAGACATGGATCACGGCGTGTAGGTGTGTTTGTGGTGACAGTGGGGTTGATGGTGTTTAAGGGCATTGGGTTGGCAGAGAGGCTGATAGGATGGTCAGTGGAATATTGCTGGACATCATTGTTTCTATTGTTTTTTATTTTTTAATTTTTATTTCTCTTATTTTATGTGTATGCATGTATTGCCTGCATGTAGGTAAGTGCACCCATGTTGTGTCCAGCAATGCCCGAGGAGGTCAGAAGAGGCTGTCGGATCCCCTGGGACTGGAGTTACAGACAGTTGTTAGCTGCCATGTGGGTGCTGGGATTCAAATCCAGGTCTTCTGCAAGAACAACCTGTGCTCTTAACCACTGAGCCATCTCTCCAGCCTCCGTTGTTTCTATTTTTAAAAGAAAAATGTGAGGGGCTAGAGAGCCAGTAGTTAAGAGTGCTGGCTGCTCTTGCAGAGGATCTGGGTTTGGCTCTCAGCACCCCCATGGTGGCTAATGACCATCTGTAACTCCAGTTCTAAGGGATCAGATGACCTCTTCTGGCCTCCATGGGCTTTGCATAGGTGTACTTAACGTACATGCAGACAATACATGCATACACATAAGATAAAAATAATAAATTTTTTTTTTTTTCCTGTCTTTTTGAGACAGGGTCTCCCTGTTGCCCCAGCTGTCCTGGAACTCACTATGTAGACCAGGCTGGCCTTGAACTTACAGAGATCCACCTGCCTCTGCCTCCCAAGTGCTGGGACTACAGGTGTGTGCCACCATGCCCGGCTAATAAAATATTTTAAAAATTGAGATAAAGTCTTGTTAGGTAGCCCAGGCTAGTGTGGTACTCCCTATGTGTTCTAGGCTAACCTTGAGCTTAGGATTCTTCTTTCTAGTCTCCTGCATGCTGGGATTACACGTGGGCACCGACATCCCTGGCAGCTCTTTTTTTTTTTTGAGACGGGGTCTCACTGGCTGGCCTGGAACTTGGCTATGTATCCCAGAGTTGGGCCTGTCTCCTGAGGGCCAGGATTAAAGGCTCATGTCCCACAGCTTTGTCTTTTATGCAGGAATCATGCTGACTGTGATTTAACTCCTTAGACATGGGAAACACGCTACATGCTTTTACTGTGGCTCTCTGTGACCTGCTTGATCCCTTTTGATCTTTCACGCCTTGATGGGAACCTCCTCACTCAACCTGGGGAAACACGAATGCCCATAATGGACCGAATTCTACAAATAGCAGAGGTAAATATGGCCACACAGACCCTTAGCTGCTCATGTGCACACATTCCTGCTTGTGTTGTCTTGAAACTAAGTTGACTCAGCTTCTGATGTTACAGACTTATGTTTAACTGCCACTGTTGTTTTCAGGGAGTAAAATCCCACCTCAGCATACTCTGAAATGTGGTAAGTCATGTAGAGGTCAGATGAATTACTTTAGCAAATTTCATTTCTCCATAGATAATACAAATACTTTGTTAAGCACAGGGATGGCATGTAAGAGGTTTTAGGTAAGAGATTTCCTGCTTAGAGGAACCAAGGATTCATTTTATGTTTACAATAAACATAAACTATTTTGTAAATAATACATGGTCATTCTAGGAAATCTAGAAAAATAAAGGCAAGCAAAAATACTAAATTGAAATTTGTCAAATTCTTGTAGACTTACCTGGCAGTCAGCGACAAGGCACGAGATGCAGCTGCTGTCCTGGTGTCCAAGTAAGTCTTGTTGGCTGTGCGGGGCTGTTGACTTAGACGTCACTGGTGCCTTCTAAGATGGTTTGTCTCACACACTGTTACCTGTTTTGTTTTTGTCTGTTAGTCTTCGAATGAGGGCTCTGGAAGGAAGGTCTTTGTAGTCTGCAGATTCTATTGCCATCTTTGAGGGAACAGGGAGCTCTGATTGGTGACAGAAGAAATTGAATTGGAACTGATCACCTTCTGTGGTGATTTGGGCTGCTGTGGTCAACTGGTACCAGTTTGTGGTACTCACAGGGGTTACCTGGTGCCAGTTTGGGGCTTGCAGGGTCACCTAGTATCAGTTTGAGGCTTCTCAAGAGTTGACTGATCCTGGTGTGGGGTTCATGGGGGTCACCTGGTGCTGGTTTGGGACTAATAAGGGTACCTTATAGGCCCTTGAACAGGCATGTACACCTAGTACACATGCAGCTGGGATTCCCCTCTATGATGTGGCCTTCCCCCTGGAGTGGCAGCGGTTGGAGTTTTTGAGAGTCATCTCAGAAGCAGCTCATGCCGGGGTCTGTGGACATCATGAGCACACGTGGGTATGGCTTGGGAGTAAAATTCCCAGACAGGTTCAGCTGAAAGAGCAGTGAGTGAAACCCTGGATTCTAACCCAACCCCACCCCACCCCGCCCCACCCCTTTTACTTGACCTTTAACTTGGGTAGCTGGAAATACAAATGGGAGATAGTTTCTTTGGTGAGCTCAGATGATCAGCACAGCCTGCTTGGGGTGCCTCAGGTACCAAAGATGCTTGTAAGACTGATCTCGTTTTATGAAATTTGAGAACATGAAGATTCTTTCTTTCAGTATTACTACTCATTCTTTGAGAATTTCATGCAATATATTTTTATCACATTCACCCCTAACTCCTTTCCCCTAACTCCTCCCAGATCTACTCCTCCTTA